CAACTACTACTACTACTACGACTACTACTACGACGACGACGACTACTACTACTAGTACTACTAGTACTCCTAGTACTACTACTACTACTACTACTGCTAGTAGTACTAGTAGTAGTAGTAGTAGTAGTACTACTACTACTACTACTACTACTACTACTACTACTACTAGGGCTACGACTACGACTGCAACTGCGACTGTGACTGCGACGACGACGACAACTACGACTACGACTTGGGCTACGCCTCCTCCTCCTCCTCATCCTCATCCTCATCCTCATCCTACTACTACTACTACTACTATTACTACTACTACTACCACCACCACCACCACAACCACTACTACTACTACTACCACCACTACCGCTACCGCTACCGCTACCACTACCGCTACCACTACCACTACCACTACCACTACTCCTGCTACGACTCCTACTCCTACTCCTACTCCTATTTCTACTCCCACTCCTACTTCTACTCCTACTCCTACTACTACTACTACTACTACCACCCCTACCACCACCACCACGACGATGACGACGACGACGACGACTACTACTACCCCTACCCCTACCCCTACTCCTACTCCTACTCCTACTGCTGCTACTACTACTACTACTACTACTACGACTACGACTACTACTACTACTACTCCTACTACGACGACTACGACTACCACGACCACCACCACCACCACCACCACAACCACTACTACTACTACTACTACTCCTACTCCTCCTCCTCCTCCTGCTGCTGCTGCTGCTGCTGCTACTTGTACTACTACCACTACTACTACTGCTACTACTACTACTACGACTACCACGACCACTACTACTACTACTACTCCTCCTCCTACTACAACTACTACTATTACTACTACTACTACTCCTCCTCCTCCTGCTGCTGCTGCTGCTGCTTCTATTACCACTACTACTACCACCACCACTAACTACTACTTCTACTTCTACTACTACTACTACTACTACTACGACTAGGACTACGCCTCCTCCTCCTCCTCCCCCTCCTCCCCCACCGCTGAAAAAACCCTTTTCCTTTTAAAGAAATCATGTTGGAACGCCATAGATACAGTCTATTTTTGTTTTTATATTATCACCAACTGCTACTAAGCCATTCGTATTAGTGGTGCGATTGCGATCATTCCCACGGAGAGGTTGCATTTTTGTTGTTTATTTGTTTTGTTTTTGCGCAAACACACCCCAATGGTTGCTATTGCCCGTGGCAGCCATGTCAGCTACTGTAGGGAATTCTGGTTGGCGGATTTTTAAAGGGTCACTGAGTGGGTGATGATGAGAGCAAGTGACGCTATCAACGATGGGTGGTGTGGATTGATGCAGAATATAGTGCATACTAACCTTTGGCGGCCTAGCATGTTTGCGTCCAACTTGCGAGTTGGTGCTTGACATTTGCATTGACATCGTCAAATCCTCATTTTGGGCTTAAGAGTTGGAGGGCGCATAACATGTATTGAACATGCACGTGTGCATAATGTGTTGTGTGTGTGTGTGTTTGCGGAACACACCCAACAGTGCAACATTGATGAAGGCACACAGAGGCATTGCACGGAGGATTGCAGACATCGAACGCTGCAACTATCCAATGGCTGGCGCCGGCTATCCCACAGGCACTTTTCTCTGCCCGTGGTCGGTAAGTAAGCCAAACATCAAGGAGCAAAAGGGCGCAAAACCCGTGCTGTTTGTGTTACACTTCGACGACAATGGTGTATGCCAGGCACCGTGGAGAGCGTCAAAGCTCCTGCTGGATGTCCGCAGCTAGTTCCTGATGAGCCGCCCAGTGCTGTGCTCAGAGTTGCCCCCAACAGTGTGTTGTGATGATCGTAGCCCACACTAGGTCACCAGGGCCGGGAAATTGATTAAGGCAAGGACCTCGCAGCAGGTGTGGCTGATTGCGTGGCATGATGCCCAGCTGTTTGGGAAGAATGCTTGTTGAACAAGGCCGTGGGTCCTACTTTTTCCGGCCGTGAAATTCTATTCACTTGATCTTCAGTTCCTGTGTGTTTGAGCCCCTCCATGTTCTGAAATGAGTCAGGTTCGGCCCAGTTGGCTGAGGTGAACCCTTTGCAAGCTCAGTACACCTGGGATTCGCTGACCACCCTGATCGAGTCCTGCCGGCGTTTGCGGAAGAACAATTGGGAGGAGCCGAACGTTGAGGGGTAACTGGGCCACGCCCGTGGCCGGTGGCAGTCCCAGCATTTGATTCAGAAAACCCATGAGGTCCTCGTGCTACGAGATCTGTTTTGCAACGCAACGATGGCATCCAATTCGTGCGAAGAAAATGAACGGTTGCATCGCCTTTTTGCCGCTCAAACATGTGCAGGCCATGGCAGAGTTCCCAAAACGTGGGCCGTTCTTCGAGGCGCCGACTGGGGCCAGGTGGCAGAGAAAACTCCGCGAACGAGATGAACGGCTGGGATCATTTCCCAAACCTTGTGGGATTGCGAATAACTGGAAGTGGATAAATATCACAATCAACCAACCAGGTCATTTTTTAAAGATATTATTAAGCTGTTATCAATAGTATCAAGCAGTGGACCCGGAGCCGCTCCGACCGCTGCGCGTCTTACGCTGTGAACCGGCCGAAAGCCGTCGCCGTTGCCGGAGCGGAGGACATGCCGAAGAATGGGCCCAGCACCAGCGAGATGATCACAGGAGGGCCTTGTTCTTTCACTGAAGAGGTTGAACATAGTGGACGATGATCAATTTACGTTTTAAAAAGAGAGGTGCTGAAACTCAGCTGATTTTCCCCATAGTCCATACCATGTCGATTTTCGGCCACACTCCCCGAAGTTTTGGTCAAAGGATCTTGCACCCGGGCACTGCACTTTCGACAGGTGCATGAGAGCCCGCTTCGAGCCTGGAGGGGCCTCGTTGGCCTCAGGTGAGGCCCTCTTCGAACCTGGAAGTCGCGACAAAAGATGGGCCTCAGAGTGGATGCTGAAGCACCGGATTTGGATCCCTCCCCGAAGCAAGATCTATTTTGGGTGACGTCACTGCAAGAGAAGTGTGCAACTTTATACACATATATATATATATGTGTATATATATATATATATACATACTTTGGCAAAAACAGGTTAATTGACATGGAAAGACGATACTGGTTCCGCAGCTATGCTTTATAGAAAAGTATTTGGATGCCTCGAACAGATCCGTTTCATCCGTCCATCGGCATTCCACCTGGAGAGTTGTGGTCGAGAAGGTCCCTGGAGTGACTGGCATGAAATAGGAGCTGTGGCAATGACCTCGGAAACCAGGCGGGACTTGGGACCAAAGACAGGGTGGTTCTCCCTGGTTCTCCGGGTTTGTTGGCTTCAGTGGACATCAGCGACATAAGGGAGACGGGTGGTAAATCCAGGTGTCTTCAGCTCGGGCCGCTCTCTTGAGCTCTCTTGAGCTCGGGCCATCCCCGCGCCGGATCGCAGCGTTGTTCTCCTGTCCGCCTGCACAATCCTCAGACGATCCACAGGAAACAAGAAGAATTGAACCAAGGCAGTGTGATGTAGAGCTGTAGTGGATGTGGCCCGTGGTCCAACGATCTGCCAAACCGGACTTCAGAAGCGCCATGGCTGTGGGCACCCTTGAGGAGGCCAAGGTGAAGGACGTGGGGGAGGGACGTTGTCAAGACCACCAGCACTCGGGGGAGGCGTCTCGGGACCCTCGTAGCACCAGCCGCACCATGGTTTGGTGGACCTTCTGCGCTCCGCCCTCCAAGCCCCGACCGACCACGAGCTCCCACCAGAACAACGCACTGTGGGACCTGATCCGAACGGCGATGGAACTCATGTGGCGCAGATGGGGCACCTGAGAGCCGCATCATCCGTCGCCGGCACGGTTCGTGAATGCAGGAGGTGAATGGTTCCAGGCGTGATTGGGGACGCCGGGACGGGGGCGTTTGCGAACACGGCGAGACGGTGAGACGCGACTCTTCCACAGGAGCCGAGAGAACCGTCTTCCAACCAATCCCAAACAGCGAGAGGACCTACAAGGACATGGACAGTTCAAAGTACAAAATAGCAAAACACGGCGAAACAATGTGTGTTTTTGTTCACGTTCAAGCTCTTCAAGCTCTTCGGATGTGCTCAGCACCGTCCATTGAACCCCACCCCCTTGGGTTTAGAGCCCTGAAACATGAGTGTTTTTACGCAAGGATCAGTTTCGATTGGGTGTCTTGCATCTACCTGAACCTGCCTGTCATGTCACCTGTCTTCGAACAGTTTCATGGCTATAGGATGCTTTCCTTTGGTGCTCCCTCCTCGTCCTTCCACGCCCTTTGTCGATCTCGTTTCACTTCAGTCGGAGCAACCGCTTTCGCCGTGGCGAGGCCCGAGGCCACCAAGCGGCCCTCCGTGCGCACGGCCGAGGGTGGGGCGCTGGCACATCCATTGTTTAAGACCTGGCCTCAGATGGGTTTCAGACGGGTGGCGTCTTTTCTGAGCGTTTTCCCATGCACCAAGCGATGCTGGCTCTGACACGTCACCGTCTCGCTGCCGCGGTCCTCTTCGTCGTTGCCTCTCGTTCAAGCACGGGGGCAGCAACCCTCGGGCTGCGAGGCGCGCGGCGGAGCGTGCGGCCTCGTCGGTCTTCGAGAGTTGCCCTGAAGCAAGTCGGGGCCCCCAGGCTCGCCAGGAGATCCTCCTGAAGCAGAGAGGAGGTGACCCCGAAGGTATCCGAGGAATGTATCCATGTGACGAACCACAGCAACACCGGTGGAACTTGGAGGGTGCCCTGAAAAAGAACTTCCAGAATCTTCTCAAGTTCGTGTCTGTTTGTTTGGCAGGTCCAGGTTTGACGACCTGGTTGTGTTTCTTCAAAGGCAAAGATGCCCTGTGCCAGTTTCGACGACCTGGCCTTTAGATTCTCAGTCGATTCTCTCTTCGATCTTCCGGCCTCGCGTGACCGCGACCGACCTGAACCGCGACCGCGCGAGACCCGCGACCGGTCGCCCGCGGGAGTCCAGACGCCCGCAGCCGTTGTGCGATGTAGACCATCACCTCCCCCAATGGCGCCCGGACCCGTCGGGACAGCACCGTCTGGCGATGGGGAGGGCCCGCGGCGGGTGCCGGTGCCGAGCCCTGAGATACAGGAGCTCATGATGGCGGCGGCGCAGTGCCCGGTGGTGTAGTGACTACGCGATGTAGTGTGGGGGTTGAGGAGTTGAAATTAGTTATGTCTGCAAACTTTGACGCCCTAGCTTCGCAGCCCCTCGCCCACACATCCCCAGCCCCCATCCCAAGCATGTGCCTGCTCTTTTGGGACCTCAGATGCCCATCCTGGACCGCGCGTCGGTCCAGGTACACCGAGATGGCCGCCAGCCTGCGGCAGAAGGGAGAGCTCGACCGTGCGATCCGCACCATGGAACGTGCGGTGGGAATGGCCTCCAAGGCGCGGTGCTTCTTCCGCAGCTTCGGCGCGGAGTCTCTCATGTGCATCGCTACGAATGTAACCGGGGCATGGCCATGGCCGCGGCTCGTGTGCCACCAGTAACAAGAAGCTACTAGTCTCCCGTGCAGTTTTTGCTTTTTGAGGGCGTTTTTGAGGGAACCCGCGAGCTCAAACCACAAGGGAGTGCCTAACTGATCGCTCTTTCGTATTCATTCCACGTGTTTGCCTTGCTTGGACTGGCATTGCTTGGAGAATCAACGGAGACCGCGTCAGGCGGAGTACCACCACCCAGCCATGGCGGTGGAGACCGCCCGCGCGCGGATCAACTTGGCCGCCACCCTCTCGGAGGCCGTCGGTGTCGAGCACATCCGCTGTAAGCTGTAGAGCACCATGATCTACAGAGGCCTCAGCTGGAAGAGGCAAGTCTGCCCAGGTGACAGCGGGTGGATGGAGTGCGGAAATCCTGAGAAGCCACGTGAAGCCACGTGAACCCTTCCCAACTGTTTTCCTCCATTTCTTGTGGTCCACAGGCGAAGCGGCACCGCGCCGCGTTAATGGCGATCAAAAAGGCACAGAACACCCTGAGCCGCGTGATCGCATGGGCCCAGCCCTGCAGTGACGACCCCGCGGAGCCTTGGAGAGTTTGGGGGTTCTTGGGAAGAGGACGAGATACAGTATGTTTTCACTGAATTGCCCTCAAGCGAAGCATACATAGCAGCACGGGTTCCTTGCGGACTCGGTGTCAACATTCGTGCGGTTTCCAATCTCATTCGTGACTTCGGTGTCAACTCCCCGCAGCCACCGGGATTTCTTTTTTGAGGCCCACAGCATCCTGGAGGAAGCGCGCACGCTGCGCTGCGCTGGGCTGGTGGCGGAGTCGATCCAGATGGAGCTTTGCCCAGGCCGGGGCAGAGCGGGGGTTGATGAAGCTCTGAGGGGCCGGTGATGGTTGAGATGTTCTTCTTCCAGATGGGAGTTGGTTTGTTTTGAGGTGGCAGACCAGCTTCTTGGCGTTTCAAACCCAGGATGTGGGAACATGAGACAAGAGGGTGGGTGTTGTAATGATGGATGATAGTGGACTCTGCAACCAAAGGGGTTTTGGTCAATGTTCTCTTCCACAGAGTCTTTTGGGGGGGTTCCGTGTTCTACTGCAAACGATGCAAGCCCAACTTGTACCTGGAAAATGGGGCCCTGGGAAGACCCACTCATCATTCTACGCCATGCATCCTTGCACCGAGTCTGCTGGCTCCGCCGATTCGCCGGAATCCTTGTTCCCACTTCACCCCGCCACCGCCGGGGCGCCGCTCCGCCGCTCCGCCCTGGCAGGCCCCAGCGTGGAGCCCGCCGGCAGCGGGTACGATGCGCACATGGCGCCCAGCTCGCTGCCCGGGCAGACGGCGCGCTGGGGCGGTCGGGCACGGGGCGCATGAAGGACTCATGGCCGTCGGAGCTCCGATGAACCAGTTGTGGAAGTCGGATGCAGTTGGCACAGATGCAGTTGGAAGTAAATGGAGTTTGCTTCTGTCAAGATGCTTGTGCCACATGCACCGCCCTTCCAGGTCTCGCTGCCACCGCTCGTGCCTCCCCGCGCCGAGACGAAGGCCGCCAAGGCGGATGCCGCCGCCACGGCGCCCGTCGCGGGACGGGCCCGGCCTCGCGCAGGCGCGCGGGGGCGACGACGGACGTGAGCAGATCTGCTGGGGGGGGGGAGCGTGGCTGGCTGACCTGGCTGTTCTTTCTGGAACCCGCAGGCGGGAACGGGGATTCTTTGAGGCAAAGGGAGGCTGAGGGTTTCGAACTTGACGCAGCTTGGGTGATTGCCACGCTTCCCAGGACCTACTGAGCAGCGCCAGGCAGTGGTGAAGGTTCCTATGCGGCCGCGCGTGGTCGAGGAATCTCAGGGGATGGCCTACTGCGGCTTTCCAAAAGACATGGAAGGGAGTTGTCGAGTTGTGGACCATCCTGGAGTGTGGTTACTGCTTTTTTGGCGGAACTTTCCGAAACCGAAGCGATCGTCCTCGCGCCACAGACGTCGTCCGTCGTCTCGTCGTCGTCGCCAGGAGCGCACCGACGTCTTCTCGGAGTTCCTCCGCGGCCGCGAGGCCGAGCGCGTGGCGCGCCTCGGCTCCTTGAACGCGCCTCGGCGGGATGGAATTCGGCGGGGTCTGGGGGGCGAGGTCTGGCAGAGAAGATGTGGGGGGAATGCTGCGGGACGGGACCGGAGTTGGGGCTCACAGGGTGGTGGGAACAGGACAGAGCGGCGGTCTGGGGTGGGATGCTAAGAAAAGGTGGGGTGGGTGTTTGGAGAGTCTTTCCGTTTGATGGTTGGGCGGTGCTGAAATGATGAACATGGGTGCCTCATTTGGCTTCATGCTTAGACTTTAGGCTTGCTGTCCTGCTTCTTGCTTGGAGTCCTCCGCTTCCTTGTCCCTTTAGTGCTCCGCCCCGCGTCGCCAAACTTCGCTCCGTCGCGCGCGCCGCATGGCGCTGAGGACAACTGGGAAGACCAGGCGAAGAGGCGCTTGGGCCAGGTGCATCGCAGCACGCAGCTGGCGCTGGACTTGATGGGTGACGAGGAGCTGAAGGAGATCCTTGGCAGCCTTTCATGCATCTGATGCCGAGTTTGTTTGTTTGTTTGTTTGTTTTTTTCTTCGCGTGCGGGGATATATAGTTAATTATAGTTATATAATGTTATAGTTTATATATATATATAGTTATATTTTTCTTGAGATGGAGAAGAGATGGTTTCAAAGTGCATGACGAAGAGCTGGAGAGAAAGCGTTCTCAGGGATAGTTTGTGTTTTCACGTGTGCGAGCAACTTGAGGAGCAGTATATACATCTATACTAGCATTTGAAGTTCTGCCATCCCTGCGGCGGGCACCGGCTGAGGAAGAGATACACCCACACGGGGCATCAGGTCTTTATGAAGGCGGCGGTTGAGCGATGCATTGTCGGCTGACTTTGGGATTTTCCTAGGGAAGGATCATCAGCAGAACCATGAACACACATTATAAACCACTTTTGGGGGATTGTGCCATCATTTACTCTGAGACCACAATAATTTGTGTGTTGTGATGCTTTGAACTCCCAATCGTTTGGCAGTGATTCTATACACTATACTCTATACCAAGCGCTTCCAGGAAGTAGAAACGGGGATCATAGGTCTTGGGACACCAAGCCCCCCTTGCCAATGCCAGGACACGTCCCAGTCCCTCAGCGACGGTCAGCCCGACCCCATGTCCTCAAAGTGACCTCCGCAGCTGACACTGGACCTCTTTATGTTGGACCGATGTGAGGCCATGAAGAAGGCCAACCGATGTTGGAGCGATCCTGTCTTGGTTCAAGAAGCTGCCAAGGAGAAGGCGGTCGTTCTTCTTTTTCCTGGGGCCTCGAGGGCGAGGGCTCGTGGTTGGTGTTTTTAGCCGTTTCGGGTGGCAGGGCCCAACGGCCAGAAGCCACGTCGGCAGGCATACCTCTTCGTGCCGTCGCACCACCGGTGCCAACGGGATGTTTCACAGCCTCCGGGGAGCTGGACGTTTTTGGTGGAGCCAGTGGCGCCGGTGCCTTATACATCTTCCATCATCCTGTCATAGGAAGTGGTCCAGAAAAGGAAGGATAGGGTGTGAATTATGAGAGGTGTTCACCAGCCACCCCCACACGAGGGGCTAGTACTTAAATATATATACTTACAGTACATAAGACTAACCCCTGCAAGTCCAAAGTGCAAGTTAAACGAGTATTTTCGACAAGAACAAGTTTTACGAGTACCTTTTGTTTGTCGGCACCCAAGCCCTTTTATCCAAGCGAGTTCAACATCACCACTAACGGCACATAGAACCTCCAAAAATGCACCCAATCTGTCAATTCATGCAAACAAAACAACCGTCAAAAAACATCAAACGTTGCAACATTTAAAGATCCTGGTCACGATTTCCTTATATATTGCAAACATTAAGGGGACTAAAGACCTGTTACGCTTCAGTTACGCTCCTGTTACGGTTTTGGAAGATCATTTGGAGTTTAGAAGTCTCCTGGAGGGCTTTGTTACGGAATTGTTACGCTCCTGTTACGCTAAACATTTGGCCAGACCTCTTTGCTCTGAATGTCGAATAATTAGCCTCAAAACCACCAAGAAAACCTGGAAACATATCACTCCAAATCGCCTTTGATTCCCTTCCAAACCACCTGAAGAGATCCTGAATACTAGTTTTGGCTTTAACGGAACTTTAGCGGGACCAAGTAAAACTAGGTTCTAATAAAGTACATGGTGGTCATTGTCTCCAATTCTATATGAACAAGTTTAACGAGGTCATTGACTTGGAGGGAATTACAGAGAAACTCATCCATTGTTCTTTTCTGTTGGCTTGTGACCAGAGGGTGTGGGAGAACTCCTGTACCACCCAAAACAAGATGACAGTACTACAGTATTTCGGTGATGTTTTAGGGAGGAGATCCCGACGTATGGTTTCCAACACCTGGCGCTCTCCTCCCGGGCCAGCCAGGCAACCCCGGAGATTTGCCAGATCCGGAAACTCAACCGGCAGCTCTACGTGAAGCCGCCGACGCCCCCGCCCGTGCAGCCGCCCAAACCCAAGGCGGAGCCGTTGGGATCGTGGATGGGCCTTCTGAGCATCCAAAGAAGACCTGTTGGATGGTGTTGGCACAGATGGCACATGTGTTTTTTCTTTTTCCATCTCCTTCACTCCCCCGGATGCTCGGCAAGAGTGCATCTTAATTAGGGGTGGTTTTAGAGAAAATTGAAACCACGAAGCAATTACACGGCGGTTTGGCGGCATAGGGCTGGGACGGAGTGGATGTTGGCGTGCGACTGCCAGATGGACGCGGGCTTAGCGAGCAACCTCCGCTCCAACCATGTGAGGCAGGGGAACCGGTAGACCGGGGAATTGGGACTCAGGGCGGAAACCGAGGGATGGAAGACCTCTTGCTGTTTTGTTTGAAGAGGTCAGGTCAGCGACTCTGGACACGTGCCACGAGGATGTTCTGAAACTCTACTGTGCCAAGCGCCCAAACAGTGGGCTCCGGTTCGAGCGTGACCATGTGGTCACTAACTGTTCGTGGCCTTTTGAGGTCAAGTCTGAAAACCGATGGCTGAGACCGTGGATGGCTGAGACTGAGACTGGTGGTGTTTTTGGTGCCACCGCTTTCGAGGTTTGTTTCACTCAGAGTTCCATAGCCCTGCAGATCCAGTGGGCACACTCGCTCGGTTTTTCCACATGCTCAGTTTGGGTCATTAGAATTGGTCATCTCCCCACTGTGTCTCCACGTTTGGGGCTTTGATGTTAGCGGATCTGTGGGGACCGGATCGGTGGCCGGGTGGAGAACCCAAGAATTCCTGGTGTCACCAGCGACCTGTGGCGCCGGACCAGTCGAAACCCGATCCCCGTATCCGCACCGGAGCTTTGCAAAGCAAGAGGCCGGTGACAGGTAGTTCGCACGTGGCTGGTAGATGGGGAAAAAGGCACTCCTTCATTGGGGCACGCCGCACGCCCAACTGATGTGCCGTTCAGTTCTTGAACCAGTGACTGATGACTGGTTTTGGAAGTGCTTTGCTTTTGAGCACGGTTGAACTCTCAGCTCGCAGTTCTGCTTGGGGCGCCTCTTCGAGGCACCGCGCCGCTCGCCTCGCACTGTCCCCCGCTGCGGTGTCGCTTCGCTTCGCCTCGAGGCACTGCGGAGTACAAGTCCGGAGAGGCGTCGAGCCCGGAGGCGCACCCGGACGTCGTGGGGACGGCGACCCTGGTGGGGCCTTGTGGAATAGAGAGAGCATCCACTTTTGGCCATGTGGATGGGCGTTTGGCGTTGGGCGGCGGGGCTATTGAATTTGCTCAAGGCGTGTCAAGGCCATGGGCCATGAGCAGCTGGTCCAACAAAACCACAGGCGGCGTCGCTCTGCGTCTTTGAGAGCACCCCGAGCACTTCCAGAGCTGCTCGGGCGCTCAGAGCTGTTCGAACTCACCCTGAGAGAGTCGACTCCGAGGGGGTCGAGGACATCTGCGCCATTTGGCATTCATGTTCCGTTCTCGTTTGCGATCTGCTGCCGATGCTTGGTCCACTTGTTGACATCCAGATGGGGGTAGCAGGTAGCAGTCTAGAGATGACCTATCCCAGACACTCCATGGGACTGGCATATTTACATACATTGACCCCTTTTCATGATCCCCCAAGTGATCGGTACATATGCGGAGTCCCAGACCGAGTCGGACGGGGTTTGCATCGTCGCAGGTCCACGGTCCGTCACGCACCTTCTCAGCGCGGTCCGTCTGTCGTGTCGGGTCGGCCCAGGACGCCGTGTCCGGGTACGCACCTCACACTGAAAGTGCGAGGACCCCGCTGGTAGCGAGAGAGTGGGAGGCGAGAGTGTTCTGAGGGCATGGGGAATGATGCACTTAGCAAAGGTGGAATTGTGGAATTGCCATGTGTATGAAGTGTATCCATGTGTTTTGGGCAGCGTATTTAGAGAGATGGGGTGCATCGGGTTCCCTCTCCCATACCGAACCCACCTCTGGCTGCATTTTCTGACTCCAGGTCTTTCATCATTCCATGTTTTGCGGCCATTGTGTTCGCCCCTGCAGGAAGCTCATCGAGGAGGCTGCGAAGGAAGCGGAGCAGAACCAGTTGCGGGGCGAGGCGGGATGACACCGCGGAGGCGTCCAGAGCCGACTGAACCTAAAGTTCTAAACACTGAACGCCTGACCGGCAAACTACTTTTTTCGATTTCGGTTGTGACGAGCGTTGTTCAGATCCGGTTGCCGGGTTTCCACGAGGCGACACCGTGCCAGCGGGCACAATTTGACGTTTCGGGACGCCGAACGACGCCGAACGACTCGGTCCGCTGGTCCATGATTCGGGTCGGCCCCAAAAGGGATGGCGGAAACCGGACCGATTTCCTGCGGGTTGGAAACATAGATGGAAGCCTCCTGTGCTGGTTCCTGCGTGGGACAAGCTGTGCCAGTGATCGGCCATGGCTCCTTGTTGCAGGCGTCCGGCCTGTGAATTGGAAGGCGGCGGGGCCCCCCCCGTCACGCGGGCTCACCCCGTGGCTCGGCAGGAGGGCGCTGGGAGCTTGGCTCGCGAGGCGGAGGAGCTGATCCAGAAGGCCCGTGACGTGGATCGGCGGATCCGCAGGCTCCGTGGCGGAACCCCTCGCGTGCATCGGGCGCGTGAAGGCTACAAGCGGTTTGGTGGAAGCGTCGGTGCCTTTGGGTTTAAGTTAAGGCTTTTTGGGAGGCCCTTGGCGCTTCAAGGGTCTAGGATTCTCAGGCAAGACCCACCAAAAAAACTGCACTGACGCACTGGGCGTGCATTGGAAGGGCTTTAGCAGGTTTTTGCAGCGAACAGCCGATTCTTGCCGTTTACTCTGTTTACTCTGGAAATCTTTTGGGCCTCCCCCCTCTAGTAGAGAACATGTCTCCTAGTTAGTGAGCTCGATCCCGAGTGTTCCCCAGTGAGCTCGTGTCAGGCCGTGGAGCAATCAGATGGGGGTGCAGGTGGGCCCACAGTGGCGGGGGAACGCTACGACGTCGCCGATACCGGTGTTGTAAGGGAGCGCCGCGCCCGGCCTTTGGTGTCGACCTATGACCCAGAAAGCTCTCAGTTCTGCAATTTAGACCGCTGTTCGGCAGTATTGGTGAGTTGTGACGAGCCTCAGGGACCTAGGAGTAGAAGATGTTTCTTCAGTGGGCCCTGGCCAAAGCAACAAAAGTTTTGACCACCCGGATGGCGGACCCGTTTTTTCAGGATCCTCCAAGGCATCGCTCCTGAGAGCCTGGGAGGATCAACCGGGGCCCCGTCAGCACCGCCCTGCGTCACCCGCCCGGAACTCGCCGTCTGCGCCGGTTCGCCGCAGCCGCCGTGGTCTTTGAGAGCGTGCCCCTCGAGAGCGTCGCCCACGCACGGCACGACACGGAGAGCGTGTGCAGCGAGGAGGAGCACCGGTGCGGCGCGGCAGCACGGCGCACGGAGCACGGAGCACGGAGCACGGAGCACGGAGCACGGGCGGTTCAGCTTCAGGAAAGTGAATGGGGCCGCTGAGGGAGCGAGGGTTTTGAAGACATGAGAGACCATTGTCCCGTCGCCTCAAACTCATATGACGCATGACTCATGAGTGCATCTTTGTGGTATCAAATAGGAAGAATTCTTTGGGTTCGCCTCATCGTACTTGGCTGAAATTTGCGAGTGCTCTGTAACCTTACTCAGAGCTTTGAAGGCCAGAGAAGAGATCTTCATTTCCCTACCATTTCATCCCATTTCTTAAGGTTCATGGTGAAATGACGTGAAATGCCTATATCAAACACTTAAGGCCTAGCCTAACGTAGAAACTCGCCCCCAAACCGCAGGCTTTTCCTTATCCACCCGATCCGACCAGGAGGTGACCGATGACGAGGCCTAGGCAGTGTGTGTCGGGCTTGCACTTCATCGCATCCCAAAGACACCGGGAAGACACCGGGACACGTGGGACCCGGGACACTGGACTTCTTCTCTGAGCCGGCGAAACTGGAGAAGCCGCCTGCCGAACCGCCTGCCGAACGTGGGCCGACCGGTGCGGGTGCCCCGAACGGTTCGAGGTTCAGTAGGTGTTAGAGTCTTCAATGTTCTTCATGAAAGCCTCACGCAATGTAATATATATATATATATATGGTATGTAAGTAACAGGAAGCGTTTTGAAGACCAAAGTTAGAGGTAAAGAAGACATTGGACTGTAGAGGTGTCGAGCCTCTGCCCAGGGAGACGACAACTGATGGGCTACAGCTGACCTTTGCTCAGCAAGCGGCTGTGGGGTGTGTCCCGCTAATGCGAGGGGAAAATCAAAGGGTTGTGATCCGCAACCATGATTTGTATGGCTAGTCAACATAGCAAGCCGGAAGATACCAGGCGGGAGATGGATTTGGGAGAAGGTCGATTCAGGAGGAATTCAGGAAGCAGTGATGGTAGCTGGTAGCAAGTCCTTTCTTGTCGTCCACCAGCCAACCAGTTCGTCAGAAACGAGCTGTGCGCAGCGCAGCGCGCAGCACGCTCAAGGTGCCTTTGTTGTGCCCTTTGTTCTTTAGGCAGGTCAATGAGGCAGTTCCATTGCCATGCTTTTGGCCCCCCACGCGTGTCACAGTTGGAGACCAGTCTCATCATCAATCTTTGCACGGCAGTTCTAGGACAGCCTTTCCTCTTCACCATCATCCAGTGACATGTTTTGGAGTGTCCACATTTCGACCACGTGAGATGATGTCAGTGACAGTAGGGGACATACCTCTTCAGCTGCCAGCGAGAAAATAGCTCGAAGAGAGCGACTTCCGCCAAGCCGCTGCTTTTATCTGCGGCCGACTTGCGTCCTGCCACCGGCAGATCAGTGTTTTGCGTTTCAGTGGTTTGGTCCTGAGCAATTGAAGCGGAGCCCGCATCATAGCATGTGAAAGCAACAGTCAACCATGGAGATTTGTGGTCCTCAATAGTCAGTCAACGTCAAGGTTATTTCCTCGGCCCAGTGTCTGAGAGTATGGTGTGAGGGTGAGGTGCGTTGAAGCACTTCAAAGCATTTTGTCACCACTTAGCCCAGCCAAGTAAAACCCCCAAGGCACATGCGTACTCTTTGAACACCCTGCCTCATCGGCTTCACCATCAAACACCAACCAAAGATACTAGCAGCTGGCCTTCGCACCCGGGTCACCTGGGTCTGTAGCTGCCTTCCATGCTTCCATGATTTGGCCTTCTACCCATTGGGGGCGAGGTGTGTTGCCCTCGTGGTGTGGTGTGGCGGTGTGGCCGTGTTTTTCGTGCCATGCGGGGGCGACCGGAACACATCCTCATGGGGAATCAGATCCTTGCAACGACCCCTCTGGGTGGATATGTGAGAGGAGCAGGGACCAAGGCGAATCGGACTCGTAGGAACTCCCGGTTTTGGGTGCGGCCCCGGACGATGCGGCGTCTTTGTGAGTCTTGGATGTGCCAGGCTCTTGCGCGAAGGGTGTGAGTTCAAGTGCAGATGTTTCATGACTGTTAGAGGAGACTTGTTTGAGGTTGACGTTCTTATTGGGACTCCAGTACCCTGCTGTACACGGCACCCTGTTCAAAACGGTTGAGAACATGGTCCAGGGAGTTCAGAATTCAGACAGTTGGATCAACCTGCCCGCGAAACCAGGCAGAATTGTGAAAGGAAAGCATGTTTTGAGGGTCCCGTTTTGGTGGTTGAGTGATCTAGTAACCTAGTAGCTTCCCAGATCTAAAGTCACCAATGACGCGTGTCGAACACCTGCTGCATGTCTGCGGGCCGTCCTGGGGTACAGAACAGTTCGCCGAAGGATTCGCTGAGGAAGAGACTGCCGAGCGGTTTGCCGAGGGGTTGCACTTTTGGGGGTCATCTTGCACTTCAGTGACGTGATAGTGACCGGACATGTTCTTCTTCTCACTTGTTGCCACCCCAACACTTGAAGAGCAAGCAAAATGGCTCATGTCACTTTCCAGCAGTCACAAAGGGGTGCCTATTGGAGGATAGGGGTGCCCATTATCCACTGACTTAGGGACTAAAAACCACTCCTTTGTGACTGCTGGTTGAAGGTCTTTGATTTCTGTGTGGGGGTTCCTCGTTTTCTTGATGATCGAATCGGGTCTCCCCACCGCTCCGAACACGCGGAAACCGCTTCCGGGGTCGACTCGCTCAGCGGCCATTCAGGGGCGGTTTTCAAAGCCCAACCTAGGAACTCGGGGCGGGCAGGATCCAACTGGATGGAGGAGCCATTGGGGATGAACACCCTCCTCCAATGGGGCAATGTATGATCAATTCACAGAAGGACAGACAGGCCTTGAAAAACTGCTCTCATTTGTAGGATTTTTGTAGGGGGGTGCGTGAAAGCCCACCGGAAGTGGGTCTTCATCACTTCTGCCGGTGCAATTCTGGCAAGGACATGGCCCACGCGTCAGCCAGCTTGTAGGATCTTGCAGGGGAATTTTCCGTTTATACAATTTTGGGGCGCCACAAGACCATCTCCTCATCTCCTTTCCTTGATGCTTTGGCTCCTCTCCCTGAGCTGCCGCCCTCGGTAGGTTTTTCGTTGGCGGCCCGGGCCACGGCCCGGGCCATGGCCTGACTCGAGTCGATTCAAAAAGGGCATCCGCTGGAGGGTTCGGAGGACGACGATCTCTTTCCTCTTGTGGGTGAGGTCCAAAGAGACCTGGTCGGACGCCGTGACGTTGTCCAATCAGATGGGCACTCGGCTGGCCCAGGTCTCAACCGCAAGTCGGTACCAAAACCAGTTGGTCCCTTTTCGTTGGACTCTCTCTCGCTCTCTCGCTCTCTCTCGCTCGTGCCAAGAGCAGGGTCCATCTCCATTTCGGCTCCGGGTGGAATGGTCCACCAGCGCCTGGCTGAAGAGCAGCCGGCGAAGCGACACTCCTCGGCGCCGGAGAAGAGCAGGGCGCTGTGGGAGACGGCCGTGTGCGGGGCCTCGTCTGGCGCTGCAATCGCACGCTCGTTTGGGGCGCCGGAAGCGCCCAACTAGTGAAGAAATACCAAGAGTTTGGGGTTGAGAGGCGGCCCGCAGTTCGGGATGTCCATCCCAGCTCCGGCCCCTTTTCGCCTCATGCACCCAAACTGCTTGGGGCAGTACATGGGGCCCCAGATTCTTCTGCAACAAGCGAAGCAGAACATCGGTGCCAGCATCAGGTTCACCACCTGGTTAATTCAGAACAGCGTGTTGCAAGGGTCTTCGGGGGTACAACAGTATGACATACGACGCACATAGAGTATCTTCACTAAGCAAATGGATTTCATCCAGATCCCAAAGCTTCCAAGTTCAATCGACGCCCCAACCATCACTTTTTTCCGATCTTCCTCGTGTTTTGGAGACTCCTCGAGGCCCCCCAGAGGTGCCCAGATGGACTGGAAGACGAGGAAAGACCGTTCAGGACCAATCGACGACGCTCAATCTAGAGTCTTACCTGGGCCCCCGGTTCGGGATATCTAATACTGCAACAGCTCCGGTTCGAGGTGCATGGGGGTGTCCCCCAAACCCCCCAAAGCGGGGGCCCCGTTCGACCAGTTCTTCCGCTGCGCTGGCGCTTTGTTGGCGCGTCTGGCTGAGGCTATGGCGCGGCCCATGGAGGCGGAGAACGGTAGTGCCAAGTGCAAAGCCAAAAACTGGGGGGACCTATGTCATTTCTGGAGGAAAGTTCTTGAAGGGCAGATGAACCTGGTCCTAGCTTTGCATAGGTTTGATTGGGGAAAGCTTCAGCAACAACCCCGTCAGCCCTCGGAAAGTTGGATCTAACAGCCCAATTGACAAACCCCTGCACCTATGTTTCACATGTCCAAACACTTGTGACATCCCACAGGCAGCTTGGTTTTCTTCTGCTCTTGGGGGGACCTTCCCTTTTTCCTCCCGTCCCTGGCGTCCCTTACCGGTCCCCTCCCCTCTCTCCGCATACCGCGCCGCAGTTCACCTCCATGGCGCGAGCGCCCGCGCGGGTGCGGCTGACGCCGCGGGCGTCGCGCGTGCCGCGCGCCACGGAGGAGGAGCCGCTCGGCGGGGACCGTCCGTGGAACGGCGATGCGGCGGGGCGGGTGAAGGGGAGGGTTCCGGTGTGGTTTGTTTGCGGTCCAAGGTGTCAAACGCTTTGGTTCATTGAAGTCTGGAATTCCTTTTTGGGGGGGATTACGTGGTTAATCGTTGCTGTCAGGGACAAGTGAGGAAGAAGGACTCAGAGTGAAGTGTTCTTCATGGCACCACGACGTCCCATGAAGTGTGATGAAATCTGCGTGCAGTTGGACATCGAGATTTCCTGACGACTTCCGGCACACAGAGACTGTCAATGGCATTGGCTCTGAGCCCATTTGCTTTTGAAAGGCCCTGGCCTGTGGAACCTTAGAACCTTCAATTCCCAGAAATACCTATGGCCTATATAAGCCCTAAGCTTCCTATTGCATTTAGGCTCAGAAAGGGGTCTTTTTCGGATGATGAACTTGGACTTTGGGGTGGGCGGATCCCGGGTCGGTGCAGCCGAGGAATAGTTGGACCTTGAGGCAGAAACACTGGAAGAACATCAAGGCACGAACCGTTTTCGGTCGTTTTTGTCTTCTTCTCCTCCTCCATCCTTTTTTTTGTGTCTTCTTCTTCTTCTTCTTTTTCTTCTTCCTTCTTCTTCTTCTTCTTTTGGAGGGCGTGGATCGGCCCGTAGAATCTAGAAAAGAAGTAATGCCATTTCAATCTGTTGCATCATCATTTGAAGGGGGTCCCCGATGTGTGCGCACAGCGTCGCGCTTAGATCCACACCCATGTGGATCTCATGTAGTCCAAGGGGTTGCCGGTTGCCTTTGGAAGTGCCTTCCAAGAGCGAACCTGAAGGAGAACTCATCAAAAGTGAGCCCTTGTTTTTTTTGAACCTCACTTGCTGTAAAGCTAATGTTTCACAAAGAGATGCACAGAGAATGGAGCCCCCCCCCCCCCGCTGGTCCTTTTTGTAGCCTCCCACCGTTTCGCGATCTGGGTCTTCACCGGATCTTGGGCCCTGACCGACCGCAGCGCGCACGTGAAGCGGGACGACCGGTCGTCACGAATGGGAAAGATCCAACCGGACCCCAACCGAAGAGGGAGATCCAGCTTCGGAGTTGGGCACCCCTTTTCACGGAGGATAGGATAGAGGGGTGCCCCCCCTTGAGGAAGCGGTCGCCAGAAGGCATTCGCCAAAGTGTGACCTGCTGCGTTTTTGGTGATTTTTCTTTCTTCATGGGTCTGCGCGACATCCTCGCCGCGATGTCAGGACCAGCTGGCGGCCCAAGCCGCGCAGAAGGTCGCGCAGCAACGGGAGAAGCCCCTCACGTGGCCTGGCAGGGAGACGCGTGCGACCGGGAGGGTACCTACCGTTTGTGGAGGTCGTCTTAGGTGGTGGAACGTGGTGGGTTCACGAGGAGTGTTGTTACGGGGGCCTTCCTCCCTAGTTGGTGGCTTTTGCGGGGCTTCCTCCTTGATATGTGGGATAGATTTTTTCAACTCAGCGTGTGAGCTTAGGAATGTGAGGCGTGGGCGGGGGGGGGGGGTAATCCAAAGTGAATCTCCTCATCGACGAGAATGGCACAGCGTGGCAACGTGCCATGTCCGTGGCGTCGCGACGCTCTTCGGGACACGGCGACGTCCGAGGCTCATCGGCGGGGGGGAGAAGCCGTTCCTGCCGCCGCTGCCGGCGTCGCTGGAGCGCGCGCAGCTGCCGGCCAAGGAGGGGGCCAAGCCGTGTGGAGAGGGCGCAGAGGTCCCCCTTGACCCGCTCTGCCCCGATGCCGGACCCGCTCCCGGATTTGACCGTGTAGGCCGTTGGGAGTCCATGACTGGCTCAACACGTGGGACGAGATGTTTCTTGGCAACATTTTATAGACTAGACTTACATATGAGTATGAGCTTATTTAGGCTTTTGCACACTTTCTCCCGTGCAACTTCTCCTAGTCTCAGATGGGTCTTGAGACCACAGGAGAAAAGAGTTCGGAGTCTGCCTGGGTGACATCTGTGCCAAAAAGACGTCCGCTTTTCCCGCCAGGAGGTCGAGCAGATCCAGTCCACGTACCATTGGAGGTGGCTCAGAGAAAAAGTAATGACCCCCTACAAGTCCAACGACATTTTTTTGCACCACCTGGAGCTAAGGAATTTCTGCGCCACTTGAAGACGTTTTCTTTTCTTTTTTCTCAAGTTGTCGTTAGAAATGGCTTGGTCCAGCATCGAGTGCCATAGTGCTCTCATCGCTGAGCCGCTGAGCCGCTCATCGAGTGCTTGGTCCAGCTGAGCCGCTCGTAAGCTCGGAAGCGGCTCCCCCCAGGCCCTGCCAGATCCGGGAGCATTGCTACGCGGCGGATTTGCCCGGGCACACCTTAGGGACCTACGTGGGGGGCGCCGAAGTGGGATCGGATCGGAGAAGCGCGGAAGGCAGCGAGGAGGGCGGGAGAAGTGCTGCGTGGGTCGTGTCCGAGTCCATGAGCAGTGTCGGTTTTTTGCTGTAGGGGGGGCTCATGTTGCAGAAGTATGTGCTCCTCAAAGGTTTGCCAAACGGCAGGCCATGTTATACAGTTATACTTTTGGTCCCAAGAACTCAGCACATGAAGAGATTTTAATGTTCTTGATGAGATCCGGACGAAAAAGAACATGTCTGTCAAACCGCCGACGGCCACGGCCACCGAGGTCAATACCATGAGCTTCACCCTGCCGAAGGAAACCTTACAGGCCCGGGGCCTGGCCCTGGAGCGTGTCGGGTTGCAGAAGGGGGCGGGCCTTGGGGGGCTGAGCCTGTCGTGGCCCATCCCGCTCGGGCTGGTGGCTTTGGGTTTTGGGCTTCGGTCGTTGAAAGGGGCGATTCCCGAGCCGTCATCGGTTTGCCAGACTGGAAGCCACATAGGTCTGGACAACCCATGTTCCCCGTGTACAGATGGAGATCCACATTATATGATTATATGAGATCATTTGGCTTGTGCCACTATCTCTAGTTCTCCAAGCTTTAAGGTTCTACCAGTTGTGAGGAAGAGGTGGTCACTGGCCCACATGTGGGGGAACCCCAAGAAAGAGAGAGAGAGAGAGAGCATCAACCCCCTTATCCTGAAAGGTGTTTCACGTTGAGGGTGAAGCACCCTGTCATTGAGCCATGAAGGATTAAAGGTTAACCCCCCGAAGGCTAGATAAAGGCTTCCCTGGACCTTCCAACAGCAAGAGCCAGAGCAAACTCCCGATCAACTGTTTGCCAGTCTTGGACACATCCACATTCTGGATCATTTTGGTGTGTTTTATTCCGGATTCTTTTCCCCATGTGCAGAGATGTTCATGCAGGGTCCGAGGGCCAACATTTTGTGCTGACTTCGCCGCAGCTGCTTTGTTGAAGGCAAAGGAATTCATGGGGTCTTCTATTAGGATATGAAGATTGGAGCAGTTCAGCCGGCTCAGCCTCAAGCAAAACATGGCATCGGGCATCAGGCTAGACGTATGCATCGCAAATGGCATTGGCCACCGAAAACGTACTGTACCTTTTCCAGGCAACAAAACGATTCTATATTCAGGTCCGACGCATGCAGGGTTACCATGACCGGCAAACCAAGCTTCGCATCAAGTCGAGCTGAATCGAGCTGACGCGGCGTTGGGCGCCTCGGCTTATAGGATGGATTTCTTTTGGGGTCGACCTTCATCCCTCATCCCGTCGTCCCAAGGACACCGGTCGAGGTCTTTAGAAGAAATTCCAGGGCTCCACCCGGTCCATGGCGAGCGCTCTGCTGCTGCTGACGCTCTTCGCGCTATTACAGCGCACTGCCGGGCTGGAGCGTGTGGTCGCTTGGCGGGAAGGACTCTGGGAAGGACTCGATACTTCAAACTGGAGAGGTTTTCTTTGGTTTTTCCTGTCCCAGCTGCTGCAGCCATTCTTTCATTGCTAATAAGGCCCAAGTTCTACGAAACCTTGCAGGATCATTGTCAAAGATAGCCGCGCTCGGGGGCAGGGCAGGGCCTTTGCAGGGCCTGTGCCTGACCAAACGTGTTGTTCCAACCGTTAGATCGGCGGTACGTGCGCTGAGGTCTTGGTGAGCAGGCATGGGGAGCGGGAGCGGTTGATCAAGGACCAGCTCACGCAGGAGGAGTCTGAGGCACCGAATCGCGGGTTTTCGTTTGGCCGATTTGGAACGCGCTTGGAGGTTTCGAACTCAATGGAATTCGTTCGGTTGGGGACAGGTTGGCGCATCGGACTGACCACCAGACACTCCTTTGTTTGGGTTGGCGGAGGGTTGAAAGATGTTGTAGTGGCATACTGCCCCTAACCCTAGTAACGGACTGACCTAGTTTCTACTTGCCTGTTGGACCTTTGTTCAGGCCGAGGATGGATCCACACGTTCTTTTTCGGACAGTTGGGGCCTGTACAAACTGGTGGGCCTCATGTCCCAGAGTGGAGCATACAGACATGCCAATGTGCTGGCACTTGCAGCTACAAAACGGCACCTGAACATAGACGCCTGCTTTGCGCGAAGTCTTTGAAATCCTCAACTTGAAACGATCCCAATCCCAACCACTAAGTCTGTGAGGAAATCCTCTGTCTGTTCCACCCAGGGCGGCGGCCCACCGCTGACGGCGCGGGGCGCCGCCGACGCGGCGGCCGTGGGCCGCGCGCTGCGGCAGCGGTACGTGCGGCCGGGCGGCTGCAGCCAACGGTGCCTGGGCGGAGAGGTCGGCGCCACCGGGAACTACCAGCCCGGAGAGGTGCCCAGAAAGCTGGTTTGGGCAAGTGAAGGAGTGGACGGATGGAGTGGACATATTTGTGTTGGAGGGGAAGTGGAGAATGGATTGTGCCCGTCCCTTGTTGCAGGTTCCTTTTTCAGGCCAACCGACGCCTTCCCAGCCCAGCGTCATCGAAAAAAGCCTCCTTGCTGAGAGACGCGTCAACCGTCACCGGTCGCCGGCCCTGGCCCTTTCTCGCCAGGTCCACTGCGAGAGCAGCGCCCTGGCGCGGACGCTGCAGAGCGCCTACGCCTTGCAGGAGGGGCTCTTCCCCGGCGGCTCCGTGGCAGAGGCTGCCCCGGCCGTGCCGCTGCCGGTGTACAGCCGGCCGACAGGCGCCGAAAAGAGATGGGGTTGGGGGAGGGAGGGGGGGGGGCCAGGCAGCCAATTGGGCATGTGGGGATGGGTCTTGCAAGTTAAGCCCTCCACTGGATCGATATCCACTTGGCCACGAAAACATGCACAGTATGATGCCACGCCCCAGGCGTCTGATAAGCACGAGGGCGCAACATGTGCGGGTGCCACATTAGGCATGACAGGAACAGTTTGGGGCCTGCAGTCAGGAGACCTACACCATGCGAAACACCGCAGGGACTGCAGGTTCCGCTTCTAGGTGTGATACATCATGATCAGAGCGCGGCCCATCCAGAGGTCGCTGACCAACCGGATGACGTTTCCGAACGCCCGAAGGAGTGGGCGGGGGAAGATTTACATGGAATCTAAAACACCACTGGTTTGTAGAGGAAAATTGTCTTCCAAAGGTTCATTTTCATGTAGGTAAGTGGTTGCCCATCCGGTGAGATACCTGAAGACCACGGGCAAGATACTGAGTCCATGCGGGCAGGAGAAGATTTCATCCTGCGTGGCTACACGAAATGCTCAGTGCAGGCTCAGAAGTTGAAAGATTGGTATTCCTCCCCAGAGTTCCAGGCCAAGGCAACGGCCGCTGGGTGGTCAGACGGCGGACATGGACGCGGACGCGAGCTTCGCGCGCGGGCGAACTCGGTGGACTTCTTCCATTCAGGTCGAAGAGGCGGAACTCTTCGGCTTCCGAAATCCGATTTGATTCCAACACATGTTCAAAATCATGTTTTCTTAAGACTTTCTTTCCATGCTACCCACCTCTCTAGACACATAGAGAATATGAATGAACATTATATATATACAAATGCGAAAACAAAGCATTCCATACACATACCGCAGGCCCTTAGGTGCAAAAGACCGCACTATCCATGCCCCCCCCCCTCTCTGATTCTCTCCCCCGCGTTGCGCCCCCCGAGTGCTGAGGACACCAAAGCGTTCCGAAGCCAAATGGCCGAAGCGCTAGGCCGGAGGAACCCAAGCGCCGAATGTTGCCCCTTCCCACGCGAAAAGAAAGCCCACCTGGAAGGCCTCCGGTGTCTTTGATGCGTCCAATATAAGAATAATATATATATATATGGAATCATTCACATTGTGGATGATCCTTTCTCAGCAAGTCTAGGCTACCTAGGCCAAGCAAACGTGTTTTGATTGGCGAGTCTATATATATATATGTATACATTCAATATTAAACATAGACACAGCATGTCCAAGGACCATGTTCTCCTTTTTGGGTGCGGTGCCGCCGACCGATCCCGCGGCCTTTTTATTGGGCGCAGGCCGCGTGAATGTGACGGAGGATGGCACGGCAGCGCCCCTGGCGGATGCCGGGACCCAACGCGTTGGGCGTTGTGGGACCCTTTTTTCTGGTTGGGAGGTTGGGAAGAGCTTAAGTTTAAGCTTGTGGCATCCAAAATCAGTGGCATTTTGTTGTGCTTGCACTGATATGAATGTTTGAGGCCTTCTGCACAGCGGGAAGGCGCCAAATTTGCGCAAACCCCCACATTCAACCCAAGAGACGGACCAGAGGGAACATTGAAAGCTGCCTACGCACAAACAGTGAGTCCACACGCTTGTTTTATTCTTCTTGCAGCATGCACTGTGGATGTTTCATGGGAAGTCCAAGGGCCGTAGCTTGTTCAATAGCTTGTTCAAAGCCTCGGCTCCATGTTGAAAGAAGCACTCAAAGATGGGCATGTTGAGCAGCCCCCGCTGCTCAGGACTGGTGGAACGTCTATGACGAGCTCGCGGTGGCAGCACAGGCGCCGAGCGGCGGCCCGGTGAACGGCAGCCAGCTGCAGCAGGCCGAGCGCCTGGCGGCGTGGCTGGAAGCGAAGAAGTTTAGTCCGCAAATCGCAGGCCGCGTGGCGCGGCGCCTTTTTTGCCGAAGCGAACAAAAACCGCCGAACCGGAGGCGTTTTCGCTTTTTGGACGTGGCGGTGAGAAGGGGTGGCCGAAAAAGGGGCAGTGAAAGATGACAGGAGGCAAGGTGCATGGTGGAGTCGATGGCTTTCATGGATGAGAGAACATCTCCAGATTTGGATTTCATGGGTTGTCCAAGCCATCCACTACTCGGATGCTACTGGTGCCTTGGTGGGTCGTGCTCACTGTTGCTTTGGAACCCTCCTGCTTTTGCACGGTGCCGCAGGCACTAGCTGTGGTGGAGCCTTGCTCAGTGCCATTGGCGAGCAGCTGGACTTGTCAAAAGATCCGAAGCTACGGCTGGTGCACTACAGTGCCCACTATGCCACCATGCTGTGCCTGGGCACACCCCGTCGCCCTCGGTTCTTGTTCGCCCGCGGCGCGCGCCGAAGCGCGCGCCCCGATCCTCGGAGCGCCGACCGCCAACGGCACCGCCCGACGCGAAGCGTCATTGGTCGAAGCTGTGATGGTTGTGCTGTTGACCTGTGATTAGTTCAGCCCCTGTGATGGTTCTTATGGTCGTGTTCTCAATTTCGCTTCCAGGGCGTTCTCAGTAGATTCCTGGGCAGCCTTTTCCTCGTTCGAAGCATCCGGACCATGGGACTCAGCGCCGCCGTGTCGCGGTTCTCGCCAGGTGCCTCATGTCCGCCTTGGGGGTCCCAGCTTCCAGCAACGAGAGCTCCTGGACCCCTGGGGAGTGGACGGCATGGCGTTCTGACATTGTCGGACCAATCACGGATCCCTGGAGTTGGTTTTTGGGCAAGTGCGTGCGGGCTTGTTAGGTGGAGTGTCCAAAATGAACCAGCTGAGATTCAACCCAAATCCATACACACATATACAATCACTCACATAACACACACAGATATAAATTTTTTTTAAAAAAATATATATTTCTCGCCTTTAGCCCTGCTAAACTCCTTGAGAAGGCGATGGAAAAAATATACACAGACATTTTGACTTCATTGGATTAGCTGTTCGATCCGACGCTGACGTTCCTTCCTCTTTCCAGTAAGGTTCTGTCCGATTCTGTCTCCGCGACCGGGAGACAGCCGAAAACTCCGTGGTGCGAACGTCAGCGTCGAAAAGGATCCTGCAGGTCTGCCCTGCTTGGTGGGTACACCATAGGAGGAGGAGGAGGAGGAGGAGGAGTGCCCAAGGTCGAATTGATATCACCTTTGAGCTGGGGGAGGGTTCAATGGTTTCTCATCGTGTTGCTACTGTTATGGTGGTGGTGACTTCTTTTTGATCGGTTCAGCGGCGCACTAGGAAGGTCATGCAGCTTTCCAGGCGTTTTTCTTCTCCTTTCTTTCCTCGGAATTCTCCGTCGCGCGCAGGATTTTCAGCGAGCTCTTGGGGCTCAGCAGTCTGTTGGCCTTCGAACTGGAGGAACTGCCAACGGGAGAGATGGTCATCGGACTCCACTACTGGCCAGGCAGGATGGGAGAAGTCCGGCGAAGCCGTCGGGGAAGAGCCATGGGATGCTGTAGCCGTGCGACGTCGGGCCTGCGCGGCTCTGGACATGCTTCATGTCTATGGCGTCTGGTGGTCTGAAATCTCGTCTTCATGTGCAGGTGGTGCATGGTCTGGAATGTTGACAGACGAAGAGCCGACAGGTCAGAGCATGAGAGCACTTCGGTGTGCAAATGTAAGACTAACTGTAGACTGTAGATCAATAAAATGCACCCACATGGAGGTGTTTGACCATCCATGGAGATGCTGGACCATCCAGCCAGGACTTCTGTTAAAAAGATTCAACCCAATTGTTTCCCAGAAACGGATCCGGCTTTTGTGGCAAGAATGTTCTCATGCCAAGGCAGCGATAGCTTCAGCAGTAGCTGGAGAACAGTCGAGCTTCCATGCGTCTCTGGCAAGTGCACCGAGAAGCAGTTGCCCGGCTGGGCTGAGAAAGAACCACATACAGCCTGTGACATCTTTGAAACAGTTCGCCAATGATCAATCCTGCACAGAGGCACAGATCAATACAGTCTTGTTTTTTTGTAAGCAGGCAGCATGAGATATATAGTAGAACTGGCACCTTGCAACACAAGGAAGTCGGCGCTTCTGGCAAGTTCGTCGGCCTTGGTTGTGTTTTCTCAGATTTTCCGTCCACTTCAGGATCGTCATGTCAACAAGAAAGAAGGCGGCAGACAGGATGTTGATCGGAGTCCAGGTCAGTTTCCCTTCTTTGCTTTTGAAGGGTGCATTTTTCTTTGAAGGGTCAAGTTCTTTGGTGGAAACCGACTGCGGTCGTTCCTGGCGTTGACCCCTTCCAGGGTCAACCTGGGGTGGGCATGCAAGGGGGCCATCAACTCATCAACTCATCAACCCCCAGGAAGTCCAGTTTGACTATTTTGGCGAAGTAAAATGAGTCAAGAAGATTTTTGGCAAGAGACCCTGCTGGACTTCCCGGGAGAAATAGGTAGAGGAGACCTATCACCTTCCAAGAGTTCATACTTTCTGCAGATGATCTGCGGATAGAGATGATGTGAGGCCCGATGTGAGGCAGCCTCTTTTCTGTCCAGCTCGTGTCACCTCTGAAAGGCATCGCTGATGATCCTACAAGGGCCGATCATTTGGTTCATACCTTCCAACATGTGGGTGCGCATTCACAAAGGAGACCCCCAGACTCCGTAGACAGGTCTATCTTCACTCTCTTACTTCTTCCAAGGGGAGACTCTATCTTTTTGAGGGTCTCTCCATTCTCATTGAGGGTCTCCGTAGTGGCGTCCTTGCTCCTAGTAGGGATGCACTTTGTTCCTCGTAGCGTTCTTGTTCCGTTCGTAGTAAGGCCAGGAGCCCCCGACTTCCGTCCGCGTTTGGTCTCCCCATGGCTTTTCGACGTTGCTTCGAGGAGATCAACATCCACCTGGGTCCACCTAGGTCCGCCTTCGACACCATCACACGACACCGCGACGACACTGAGGTTCCAGTCCCTGGTCTCTGTTGGGGGGCAACCGAGTCGAACAGCTTGGTGCGAGGCCGGCGGGGATGGGTTCGGCATGTGATTCTCTGGGGGCCAGGGGGAGATGGGAGTCAGGTGGAAGATATTCTTTATCCACGGATTGACATGAGAAGGGGTAACATCTCAAAGGGAAAGAGATGACATTTTGTTGTTCATTGGAATCATGTTGAATCTTATGTTTGCCTCTGCTTTTTCATCCTAGCTTTGATGGCTTGGGGTGGGGCGATCTTGAAGCTCCATTTTGGCTCGGCTCAAGACTTCTTGTTCTTTTTTGCTGAAGCTGATGGGGGTGCTGATGTGGTTGAAGGTGTCCGTCGATTCATGATTCCTTTGTGGGGGTGTCATGGTAGGGGTGTCGAGATCCATACCGCGGGAGTGCCGGCTATGCCATAAATTTGCCGGCAAAGCACTTTTGAGATGCAATTGAGTTGGAAACACTTCGCAGCAGAGCAGTCAAGGCAGCCTTCGGCCTCGTAGCCCTTGGTTCGATAAATGCCACAGCAGCCGACTTGGCCAATAAACAATTGCATAGGAAGGGGCCGAAAACCGGACGGACTAAGCTTCACCGGACGGACTCGTGATCCGTAGTTCATGTTTTCTCAATGATATAGGCTCTTTTTCATGTATTAACTACGGTATTCTTCGGTTTTGAGGTCCTTTCTGGGCTTTTCTGAGACGACTGCCCCAATCTCCCTCATCGTCCAGGCCTGCCAGAGCTTCCAGCTCCCCCTCTGTGCGGCCCCGGCGCCGCGCGGCCGGCTGGCGCATCAGAGGCCTGGGAGATTCGGACTGCTTGGCATGTCAGGTGGCAATGCAGATGGTGGAGGAATCGCCCCCCCCACTCCAACTACCAGCATGCATGTGCAATCTTGTACATCAAAACCCTTTGAAGGGTTGTGATGGGGTCTTGATTCATCAAGAGCCTACATCGACAACACAATGTCTGGAGGTGGGCCAAAGGCACGCCAGCACCCCCCCCCCCCGGCACGAAGGGGTCCATCCGACCGCGTAAAGGCGCGACGTGAGGCGCGGAGAGGCAACTCAACGGGCGGTTTGTTCGACAGAAGAATCTAAATGCTGCCACCCGAAGTAGTTTGGGATGGAAGCGGAGAGATCCCCCGCCCAAAGCGGAAAGATCGTCCGGCCATGGGACGTGAAGCTACCCTTCGTTTCGACCCTCACCACGTAACAGCCTTCGCTGTTCTCTTCGCTCGCATCCCTTCAAAAGAGATGCTGGCGACAGCTTCGCGCGCGAGTGGCGTCCTGAGCGACTCGACGCAGAGGTGGGACCTACCGGCCTTTGCCTTTGTCTTCCTGGGCATCGGCCTAGCCGCCCTGGGCGCTGCCGGCTGCTACGCCTTCCGCCGCAGCTGGCGGAGCTGCTTCTTCTCCGAGGAGGTGGGTTGCTTGGTGGTGAGCAGGCTTGCAGGTGCAGATTAGCATGGATCCTGAAGCCACTGGGTGGTAGATGAGAAGAGTCAAACAGGAGCCCCTTCTTCGCCGGAAAGGGTGTACAGAAGTGAGGTTGTTGTATGCTGGCAGCCGAGGAGGGTCAGTCCGGACCGGTGTTGATCCCCTTCGCAGGAGTCCCGCAGCATGATGGCCGACCGCGGCACGGGCAACGCGATCGGTGCGTGCAGTCCAGCGCCTTCGCTCTGAGGCCGGAGTGGGTCCATCCTTGACGTCGAGAATCTTCTGGCACCCTCCAACAGGTCACCACCTGCGACTTTTAAGTCAGCAAAAGCCTCCAGAGAAAAACCTGTTGGAGGGTGCTGGTTTATGAATCATAAGGAAAGCCCACCTTTGAACCAACTGTTTAGGTCCGAAAGTAAAACCTAAGCAAGATGCGACCAACGGGTTGCGCCTTCGTGTCACCGACGCGATGTGTTGAGAGGTTGGAAGAGGTTAACCTGGTGCCAAGGCTCACCACATGAAGAGACACCTGGTGAGGCCAAACGCCGTTTCGGCCAAGGTGGGATGGTTTCGGCCATGTTTCCAATGGTCACTACACATTCGACACTCCCGGAAAATCCATCGGAAGTGGAGTTCCGCCTGGGTCTTCAGACCCCTCTTCTTTCACCTGTTTCGGGGATTGTGTCTTCTTCAAGCCAGCGACAAGAGTGAAGTATCAGATCCAGGTGATCCAACACTTATTGATCTTGATTCGGTGAGATCTCAAACTCGGCATCCCAGATCTACCTTTGCCGCTAGAAGGAGGTCCCTTTTTGTTTACACCAGGTTGGGGAAAAAAGACGAAAAACGGTCACCAGTCAGTCAACTCCCCCTTGCTCAAGGCCCAGTGTGGGATAAAGGATCGTAAAATCGGAAAAACGTTCCACAAGTTGGCCACAAGCTCGCCCTTGGCTGCCTTTGCTCAGCCAGGCTGCTGCGCGACCGGCAGTGTGCTGAGCGGTTTGAGCGGTTTGAGCAGACGGGCAACCGGTGTTGAGACAATTTGCTTGAAAGAAGAGTCGTACTTCCTGTATTTGCCTGTGCTTGTTTGATTCGCAAGTCACAGAGAGTTGCCGACTGCAACAGCATATGGGGTGGGAACAGCCACTTTCTCTTGCACTTACTCTAGACATCCAGCAGTTCCCCGCGGCGAACCCGCCCGGTGCGCCAGGGGGAAGGCGCCAGAAAAGGTAGTGACCTGAAGCAGTGACTCATTTCTTGCAGGAGTTGGCATTCTATATATATATAATATAATTGGGTGCTGCCTAATAGCTGTAACAGTCAGTAAACACATTTTCCTTAAAACAGACCCTCCAAAAGTGCACCAAGTGTTGTCCCTTTTTGCTGCTACTCTTGCCCGGCCTTCTTGCTCACTGCTGCTATTTGTTGTTCATTGATTTTTTCAAGTTTCAATTGGCAGTTGGTTGCACAATTCAAATGTTCATTTTTTCAATTTTCAATTTGCAATTAGTGGGTGATGGGGCCATGGGATGACTGTTGAGGCCTGGATCTCAGAGTGGCAATCATCACCATGGACCATGGCAGCTTTTCACTTTATCCTTTTTCATCTTCTATGCTCAACTTTGTTTAGGTCCTAGTGTCCTAGTGTTGGTATTTTGGCACTTTGTTGAGGCCTGGTGTAGCGCCACGTCTACTACGATGATGACTGTTGCAGGGGCCTTGGGGTGTCTGGGGGGTGAAGGTCTTGCTTTTGTGGGCCTTTTGTGAGCTTGGTCTTGCAATATTGCTCATTGACACATTGCCTTCATGGTTGCAGCAGTTGGGCTTTGACAGCAACATTCACCCACATGATTCACATGATCAAGTGGCAGCAAATTTTCACATCACAGATCAACTGCCAAGCACTTCATCATTTCAATTGTCAATTGTCTCTTGCTTCATGGATGCCTCCATCCATCGCCCTCAATCTGATTGAGGAAGAGTTCAAGGACTTGTTCACATCACTGCCTATGTTGAGTTTGGAGCGCGAAGGGCTCTGCAGACGCTTGCCAAATTTGCTTGCCTTTCTTTAGGGATAGATCATGTATGGTTGATTTTGCATAGGCGCGCAGTGGGTGAGGGCATGTTGGAGTGATACTACTACTACAACTACTACTACTACTACTACCACTAGAATTACAACCTCCTACTACCACCACCACTGCCCCCACTACTACTAGTGCTGCTGCTGTCATTACAACAACTGCCATCTGCTTCTCAAAAAGCATCTTTGATTCAGCCCCCCCTGATCCATACCCCGAAACAATTTCTGTGAGTGGTATGTGCTATACTACTAGCGCAGAACCCGCGCGGAACCCGCGCGCCACACGCCCCACACGCGCGCGGAATCCGCGCGCCACACGCGCGCGGAACCCGCGCGCCGCACGCGCGCGGAACCCGCGCGCCACACACGAAGTGGTAGCAGCTGCTGTCTCTATTAACATTGGTAGTGGTAGTAGTGGTCGTGGTGGTGGTAGTGGTAGTGCAACGACTACTGCAACAACGACGACAACGACTACCGTGACTACTGCTACTACTAAGACTACTACTACCGAAACGTCCGCGCGCGGAACCCGCGCGATTGTGGGCGCGCGGGTTCCGCGCGCGTGTGGCGCGCGGGTTCCGCGCGCAGGTCCGACCGGTCCGACCTGTATGCGTATATGCTGTCTGAAATCTTTTTGGAGTAGAAACTGTTATGATCGTCGATAGGTCTATCACTGAGATCGTTCTAGGTCATACATCAGGTAGGGCTTAGATCTGGTATGTTTTGAAGGAAAACCCAATCTGCTCAAAAGTGATGTTTGAGTTATGTTTCTGCCTTGTCTCTGTGTCTTCCCTTGTGTAAACACCTTCCGCATGTAGCGGGGTGTCTATGCTTCTGGGGTGGGCTGATGCCTGTTACATGTCCTAAAATGATGTTCCTCTGTTGATGTTTAAGCTTGTCATTGTTTTTTGTAATGCTTCATCCTTGTGTCTTGGTAGCTGGACTCAAAAACAAAATTAAGCTACCTTTGCTGTTCCCAGAAACTTTGTCGCGCAGTAGAGACTGAATCTTGCAATCTTTGCTGCTCCCAGAAAAATTTTAGGCACAGTGAATCTTGCTACCTTTGCTGTTCCCAGAAGCTTTGTCGCACAGTAGAGACTGAATCTTGCAATCTTTGCTGCTCCCAGAATAATTTTTGGCACAGTGAATCTGGCTACCTTTGCTGTTCCCAGAAGCTTTGTCGCACAGTAAAGACTGAATCTTGCAATCTTTGCTGCTCCCAGAAAATATTTTGGCACAGTGAATCTTGCCACCTTTGCTGTTCCCAGAAGCTTTGTCGCACAGTAAAGACTGAATCTTGCAATCTTTGCTGCTCCCAGAAAATTTTTGGCACAGTGAATCTTGCTACCTTTGCTGTTCCCAGAAGCTTTGTCGCGCAGTAAAGATTGAATCTTGCAATCTTTGCTGCTCCCAGAAAATTTTTTGGCACAGTACATCTTGCTAGCTTTGCTGTTCCCAGAAGCTTTGTCACACAGTAAAGACTGAATCTTGCAATCTTTGCTGCTCCCAGAAAAATTTTGGCACAGTGAATCTTGCTACCTTTGCTGTTCCCAGAAACTTTGTCGCGCAGTAAAGACTGAATCTTGCAATCTTTGCTGCTCCCAGAAAATTTTTTGGCACAGTGAGTCTTGCTAGCTTTGCTGTTCCCAGAAGCTTTGTCGCACAGTAAAGAC